CAATGCAAAATCTCGTGGCCCGAGGAAGGATTACATATACGAAGTCGGAGAACCCGACCACGAACAACTTCTTCAGGTTCCACTGACACCCCCGGAGCCCGAGGAACAGCAGTCGCCACCCCACCACAAGCGAGGCCCACTCCATCACGAGTAAAGCAGCTTGTGAAGACTTCTGATCCAGGGACAACCCGTTTCAAAAAATCGCGAACTTGACGTCCATCTTGCCGAACTTCTTGAAGAGAAAGAATAGTAGAACCGCACCCCAGGCTTTGCAGGTACTTGAGTTTCGTGCTGCCCAGCCTCCCCCGCCACTGGAGGAGCGCCCTCGCATTCCACGTCACCACGCGCACTGTGCCACAGTGCGGCCGACCCCCAACACCGTGGACACGAGGTATGAGCATGCGGCCGAAGGGGTCAAAGACACCACTCAGGCTCCGGAGCCGGCGCCACCACCTGCTTGAGAGCCTGCGCAACGTCCTCGCGAGCGAGGCCCAGGTGGCTGAGCCCCGCATGGTTGTACTTGATAATGGTCTCCTCGTTGTTGGGCTGGGGTTCCAACTTGCACACCAGCGTCCACGAAGTCGACAGCGTGCCCTTCTCGCGGTTGACAAACCACGGCCGCCCCGCGAAGGCATCAGCCAGCGCCGCCTTAGCCTTCTTGAGCTGCACCTCCGTCTTGATCTGCTTGCCGTTCTTGTCGGGCCCGAGGTTGAGGCGCAGTCGGGCAGAGAGAGAGAAAGAGAGAGAGAGAGAGAGAGGAAAGAGAGGGATATATATGTATAGAGAGAGAGAGAGAGCGAGAGAGAGAGAGAGAGAAAGAGAGAGAGAGAGAAACACACAAGAGAGAGAGAGAGAGACCATGGAGAAGGAACAGGGAGGAGGTGATGAGAAGACAGAGAAGACAGATCTCACGGAGGAGGGAGCAGGGAGGAGGTGAGAGGAGTGGGAGGACCAGGACGGGGAGCACGCATAAGCGACACCAGGCCCCCGCATTTGCTCCATGTTTCAGCGTCCGCTGCGCCGCCGCGCCGATGCTTGGCCCGCCGCCGCTACTGCGGCGGATGCGTGACCTCCCCCTCCCTGTCCAATGCTGTTTCTTATGCCACCCTCCTCCCTCCCTCCTCGACCTCCTCCCCCCCCCCCTCCTCCCGCTGACGCGTATGAAGCCCTTTGGGGGCCCTCTCGGGGCTCGGGCACGCGCGCGACGCGCCGCCAGCATGCGTTGCATTCTGGAGTTGGAAGAGAGAATCCCTCCAACGACCCACGCCTGGAAGGCTTGCGGAATTGCAAGGCCATTGCGGGGCATTGCGCTGCCATTGCAGGGCGTTCAAGTGTCTCTGCAGGGCATTGCAGGATCTGGTTTGCAGGGTATTGCAAAGGTTTGGTTTGCAAGACCTTTGCAAGGTATTGATATGGGGGAATATCCGGGGGAACAGCCAGAGCAAAATCCGGGAGGCGATCTATGGAAATCTGAAAGAAGATCTGGGGGAACATGTAGAGGAAGATCTGGAGAAATATCCGCAGGAACATATGGAGAGAGATCTGGGGGAGTATTTGGATGAACGCACGGGAAGCAAGCTAGAGGAAGATCTCGATGAAGATCTGGAGGAAGATCTGGAGGAAGATCTGGAGGAAAATCTGGAGAAAGGTCTGGAGGAAGATCTGGAGGAAGATCTCGAGGAACCTCTGGACGAAGATCTGGGGAAAATCTGGAGGAAGATCTGGAAGAATATCTGGATGAAGATCTGGAGGAACATCTGGAGGAAGATCTGGAGGAAGATCTGGAAGAAGATCTGGAGGAAGATCAGGAGGAATATCAGGAGGAAGATCTCGAGGAAGATCTGGAGGGCGATCTGGATGAAAATCTGGAGGAAGATCAGGAGGAAGATCTGGAGGAAGGTTTGGACGAAGATCTAGAGGAAGATCTGGAGGAAGATCTGGAGGAAAATCCGGAGGAATATCTGGAGGAAGATGAGGGTGAATATGGGAGAAGATCTGAAACGACGATCTGGGAAAAGATATTGAGGAATAGCTAAAAGAAGATATTGGGATTCATGGGAAGGAAGATCTGGAGGAAGATCTGACGAGATGTGTGAAGATATTGATGAAGATCTGCGGGAAGATCTAAAGAAAGATCATGCAAGCTGGAGGAAGATCTGGAGGAAGATCTGGAGGAAGATCTGGGGGAAGATCTGGAAGAAAATCTGGAGGAAGATCTGGAGAAAGATCTGGAGGAATATCTGGAGGAAGATCAGGAGGAAGATCAGGAGGAAGATCTGGAAGAAGATCAAGAGGAAGGTCTGGGAGAAGATCTGGAGGAAGATCCCGAGGAAGAGTTCTGGAGGAAGATCTGGAGGAAAATCTGGAGGAAGATTTGGAGGAAGATCTGGAGGAAGATCTGGAGGAAAATCTGGAGGAAGATCTGGAGGAAGATCTGGAGGAAGATCTGGAGGAAGATCTGGAGGAAAGCCTGGAGGATGATCTAGAGGAAGGTCTGGAGGAAGATCTCGAAGAAGATCTGGAGGAAAATCTGGAGGAAGATCTGGATGAAGATCCGATTGAATCCAAGGAGAAGATCTGGGTGAAGATCTGGGGGGGGGAGATCTGGAACAAGATATGATGGAGGAAGATCTGGGAGGAAGATCTGCGATGAAGATCTGGGAGGAAGATCTGGGAGGAAGATCTGGGAGGAAGATCTGGGTGAATATCTGGGCGAGTATCTGGGAGGAAGATCTGGAGGGAAGATCTGGTGAAGATCTGGGAGGAAGATCTGGAGGAAGATCTGGAAGAAGATCTGATGGTTATGCTGGTGGCTCTGTTGGTGGTTGCGCTGGTCTCTGCTCCTCCTTCTCCCCCTCCTACGTCCCGAGATCCTGATGATGATCATGGCATCGTCATCACCACCACCACCACCACCATCATCATCATCATCATCATCATCATCATCATCATCATCATCATCATCACCATCATCATCATCATCATCGCCGTGATCGTCATCAACATCGTCATCATCGCTGTCCTCGACCTCGTGATCGTCGACATCGTAATCGCCGTCATCATACTAATCACCATCATCATCACCATCACCATCATCATCGTCAGCATCGCCATCATCATCGTTGCCGTCATGATCAGCATCAGAAGCAACATCAGAACCACCATCAACATCATCATCATCATCATCATCATCATCATCATCATCATCATCATCATCATCATCATCAACATCATCGTCACCACCATGGCCGCCAAGACGGCCGCAGGAGAGCCCCAAGACGACTCCGGATGTTTCCAAACCGCTTCCGGAGGAAAGCCGAAGGGCAGATGTGGATGAATTTCGGGGGAACATCCCAGGGAAGATCACGAGAAAAAATCCGGACGGGCCTCAAGGAGAGGATCTGGCCAAATCTTCAGCCAAATTTTCGCCCTGGAACGACTCCGGACGATTCCCGGCCTGTGCGATGCACTCCACAGAACCCCAAAGGCCTGTTGTTCATGGCACCCCACAGGCCGCTCCTTGGAAGAGGGGCTTCCGTTGAATATCTGGAGGAACAGCCGGGAGGGGAAGATCTGGAGGAAGATCTGGGAGAAGATCTAGAAGAGTGATCTGAGAGAAAATCTGAGGGAAGATCTGGTGAAAGAGCTGCGTGGCGACCCGGAGGAAGATCTGGAGGAAGATCTGGAAGAAGATCTGGGGGAAGATCTGCAGGAAGATTTGGGGGAAGATCTGGAGGAAGATCAGGAGGAAAATCTGGAGGAAGATCTGGAGGAAAATCTGGAGGAAGATCTGGAGGAAGATCTGGAGGAAGATCTTGGGGAAGATCTGGAGGAAAATCTGGAGGAAGATCTGGAGGAAGATCTGGAGGAAGATCTGGAGGAAGATCTGGAGGAAGATCTGGAGGAAGATCTGGAGGAAGATCTGGAGGAAAATCAGGAGGAAGATCTGGAGGAAGATCTGGAGGAAGATCTGGAGGAAGATTTCGGGGAAAATCTGGGGGAAAATCTGGAGAAAGATCAGGGGAAAGATCTGGTGAAAGAGCTGCGTGGCGACCCGGAAGGAGATCGGGAGTAAGATCTGAGAGGGAATCTGAAGGAAGATCTGGTGCAAGATCTGGGGGAAGATCCAGGGGAAGATCTGGGAGAAAACCTGAAGGAAGACCAGGGGAAAGATCTAGGGGAAGATCTCTATGAAGATCTGGGGGGAGATCTAAGGAGGGATTGATCTGGGCGAGGATCTGAGGGAAGATCTGGGCGGAGATCTCGGAGAGGATTTGGGCGAAGATCTGGGGGAAACTCTCGGAGAGAATACAGAAGAAAATCGGGATTCAAATCTGAGGGAAGATCCAGAGGAAGATCTCGACGAAGATCCCGAAGATCTGGAGGAAGATCAGTGAGAAGATGCCGGATTTAAGAAACTAAGCCAGCTTTTGGGAATTCGTTATCGAATTGCAAGAAATTGTGAGACCTAGCTTGGCGGGAGGGAGTTTCTTAACATGAAATATGAGTGTATGACTATTTGCGTGTATGAGTAAACGCATATGTGTAGACACGCATCGTTCGGTGTATACATGTATGTTTATGTGTATATATATGTATGTATGTCTGAACATAGATGTATGCATGCGTATGCATATTTGTATATTTGTTTGTATATGTATACTTATATGTGAATACGCATACACATGCAATTATACGTATATGTCTTTACATGTATATGTCTGGTCATATGTCTATGTAGTCGTATATGTAAACATGGATGCATGCATACTTGTATGTACATGCATATGCATGTGGTATGCATATGTACCTGTGTATAAAATGACCAGGTACTATGCGAATCTGTAATTGTAAGTGTATATGTATATGTATACGCATATGCAGTTTATGTGCATGTGTAGTTGTATTTGTGTATCTGTACATGATAAGTGAAGCGAAGCAAAGGGAAAGGGCCACGGACGGTAGGCGATGCTGACAGCTGCGGGGAGCCGGGCTCGGGATCCTTGTGCCTGGCGCCGGGCCCCGAGCGGCTCCACAGGACGGCCTCCGCTCTGCCGCGCGGGTGGGCTGCTGCAAGAGGCGACTTTGGGGGCTCAACGGGGGCATGGCTAATCAAACACTCCCCCTTTGCTCAAAGCCGAAATCGTAAAGAACTGGTGGTCTTCCAAAGTGTTCGGCATCTGGATGGCATCCTGGGGAAAGCTTGGGACTCTCATTTCCGTGCAGATCGGAGCTGGCGTGCGTGCCGTCGCTGGCCGAAGCGGAGCCGGCGGCCATGACTCGCAATCGCCGCCGCCGTCGTGCAGGCCAACTGGGAACGAATGCGATCGGAGGGCGCGTGCGGAAAAGCGCTCGTGCGCCTCATTATTCCTTTTGGCGTTGGATGTTGGGAAGGAATCAGGGAACACACACAAATGAAGAGAGAGAAAGAGAGAGAGAGAGAGCGAGGGAGGAGAGAGAGAGAGAGAGAAAACGACCACACTCGAACCTGTGAATCTTCAACCGAATGAAACGCGCATGCACTCATACATCAAGGTGGAGGTAAAAAGAGCATGGCAAGAACGAGGCAACCTGAGCACTCTCAAATCCATTGCATGCCAAACTGCGTCACCTAGGATGCCTGTCTCAATACGGATAGGGGAAGGCGTTCGGGCGTGAGGGTCTAAGCCTCGATCGCAAGTGCCATCCTTCCACCTTTACCCCTGCCGCCGCAAACGACCCAAACTCTAAAACAACCGACGCTGCAAGCCCGCTTTTCTGTGTGGAGGACGGCAACGTGTTCTTCCCCACATACATCCCTTGGTAACGCGAACATGTCAATCAAGAGGGTAATCTGGCCTTGTCGTCAGTCTGGAACGCCGTCGCGCCGAAATTCTTTTTTCGGAGACCTCCGAGATCTATGCCTTGCGCAGCAAGTCTGCGGAGGAGGAGGAGGGTTCTGCCGCCCAGGTGTGGCCGTCACGCGGTGTCCGTCGATGAGCACGCTCGCGAGCGCGCAGCACGTAAAAACGTGCACAACGATTCGGCGATGCATGGACATCCGATGACTGCGATGCCAGCGTTGCATGCGGAGACGAGAGGGGGTACTAGTCACACTGATGGGGAACAGCGACAACAATGATAATAAGCGCAGCAAGACAACGTACGAGGGCGACGGGAACATCTCGGATGTGATCAAGGGAGACCTTGTGCATCCTCCCTTCGTCTCACTGACAAGCCGCGGCAGCGGAATGGACATGCGTTGCTTACCCGATGCTTGCTGCCGGCCACATCCAAGCCGTGAAATTTGGGCGTTTGCTGGCCGCAGGTACTTCGACACCCCACACGGAGGCAACGACCCCCTCGTCCTCGTGCACACTGGCTGGCGAATCGGGTTCGGAACTTCGCCACAAAACTAGAGCAACCCAACCAACACGACCGCGCCGTGCATCGACAGTTTCCCGGCGGACCCCCACCAACAACAGCGATGGATTGACAACGGTTACGGTGCGAATGGGAATCGTTCGCGTTGCAACCCTATGTAAGCGAACGTGGGCCCCACACAATGTGTTTCTGGCAGTCTACGTTGTGAACTATAAGTGGAGCAATCTACGTGATGCAATGAGTTCTTGTTCGCAATGAATTGTCCACGCCACTCCTCGCGCAATCATCCCACCCACCCATTCGCAGCTTGCTTTGCGAAACCGATGCGACGGCGATTGCGATGACAATTGGCGCTGGCTGCCGCATCGTTTCGGCCGCGCTGGCGCGCGCAAGCTCGCGCGCAGAGCGGCACGCTAGTCTGGCGCGACCGTCGCGGCCGCGGTGGCGCTGACCGCTGAAGACTGCCCACCGCGTCTCGCAGGCCGCGCTGACGCGCGGGCACTTCAGTGCGAATCGGTGACTCGGGCGGGCGCGGTATCATGGCGACGTCGACAACGGCAGGCACGATTATATTAGTAGCGATGCTGGTGGCGACGATACGATGACGATGACGACGATGCCGATGCCAGTGGCAATGACGGTGCCGATGCTGATCACGCCGATGACGCTGATGGTGTCCACGTGTCGGTGATGACGGTTTTTGGATGGATTTCGACATGCGCGCGCGGCCGACGGGCGCGAGTGGCCCGCATGGTGTTATGTGACGGGGATCGCGCCCTCACCGCAGCACGCGCGGAAGGGAGTTCGAAAGATTTCGCCATGCTTGCGCGAAAGGCCCGCGCAGTGGCATTCAATGAACATGTTGAACACCCTATGGTTTTCGGGCGGATTCGCAAGAGCGCGCGCGCAGACCTTCTGATTTGAAAAGCCACGTTTCAAACACACAATGTTTCTATGTGTATACGTCTCTGGGGCATTCGTTCAAAAAACCGGGCGACACCTGACGTTGCCTTGAAAGATTCCGGCATGCGCGCGCGACGACGCGCGTGTGTGCATTTCGCCCAACAGGTTGCAAGGGCCTCTTGGAAACTGAAGATTTGTGACGAGAGACTGCGCTCGCATAGTACTTTTGTTCAGAGTATGGCCAGGGGGGGTCGAACCCAGTTTGGCTGAGATGGCGTGAAATCGTAAGTATAATCAGCGATGGGGCAGAATCGTGCGTAAATTGCACATCCCCAGAAGGGGTCGAGAATCCCAGCCTCGGGGGGGCGGTAGATTTCTTAGTATTATTATTCAATATATACAAGTGGCACGTGTGTGCCCAGGCTCATACAAAAAACTGAAGGGGCGTTTGAAGCAGGAGTGAAATGCAACATCGAAGTCGCACTCGAACGCAACTGGGGTTGCCACACCTTGCGATGTGTGTACCAGGGCCCCCCAGGAAGCCTCAGGAGGCCCGACTTGGATACCAGAAGAGGCTCCAGGAGGCCCCAGGATTGTGAGTGTTGTGCGTGTGTGTGTGTGTGTGATGTATGCTTTGTGTGGTGCGTGCTTTTTGTGTGTTGTAGGTGTTGTGTGTGTGTGTGTGTGTGTGTGTGTGTGTGTGTGTGTGTGTTATGTTTGTCTAGCGTATGATGTGTTGGGCGTGATTTGTGTCTCTGTGTGCATGTAGTTCTGAAGCCCCAGGAGGCCCCAGGAGGCCCCAGGCGGCCTCAGGAGGCCCCAGGAGACCCCAGGAGGCTTCAGGAGGCCCCAAGAGGCTCCAGGAGGCCGCAGGAGGCCCCAGGAGGCCCCAGGAGGTTTCAGGACACCCCCAGGAGGCTCCGAGGCGGGGTCTGGGGTGCCAGAAGGTTCAGAAGCCCCAGGAGGCCCCAGGAGGTTCCAGGAGGCCCCCAGGAGGCTCCGAGGCGGGGTCTGGGGCTCGATTTTGGAAGGATTTTTCAAGCGAAACCGCCATTCCCTGAGAATCGGGGTCACAATTATTGAAATTACCATGTGTTTTTGAAGGTTTTATGTTAAAATGTTGAAATTCCCATGTGTTTTTGGACCCTGACGTCACGATCTGCGTGAGGGGTGCCACCGATTTTCAGAATTTCGAGGATGTCCCGAGCGAAACGCCCAGAAAAATCGCGGACGCGTGCGCATTAATCGCCTCTGAGCTCTACCCCTCGGAGGGTGCGTATGATAATATATATATATATATATATATATATATAATATATGTATATATGATACATATATATATACTAGAACCATCGCGCGCGCTTCGCGCGCGCTCAGGTTCTAGCCCAGGCCGGGGGGGCGCTGGACGATCTTGGACAACGCTATCAAGCACAGGCGCGCGACGGCATCTGAGGAGCTTCTGGGGTGTTCCGCATGCTTCGTCAACTGGCTGTTGGAGGCACCTCTTGGGTGCTTCTTGGGGGGGCGTCTGAGGGTCCCTTGGGGGCATCGGTTCTGCAATCTGAAGCCGTCATTGGCCGTCTTGGCTGCGTGGAGGCCCGACTTGAGGCCACCTGCGGCCAGATTGAGGCAATCCGGAAGCCTCCCGGGGGCCTCCTGGAAGCAGTTTTGACGCATCGAGGGCACTCTTGGGCTATTTTCAAGCCTCTTGGACGTCTCCTAGGGGCCTTTTAGGCCCTCGGGAAGCTTTTGGGGTCCTCGTCGGACCACTTGGGGGCCTCTTGCAGCCTCCTGTGGGCCTTGTGGGGGGACCGCTCTGCTGTTGAGCTGCGTTCCCCTTCTTGGGCCTCTCTTGGGGCTCTTGGGGCCCTCTCGGGCCGTCTTGGGCGCCTCAAGCACCGTCTTGGGGCCCTCGCGGGCCCTCTTGGGGCCCTCTTGGAGGCCTCTTCCTTTATGTGGGAGCGGTATTGGAAGCCTCTTGGGCCGTCTTGGAGCATCGGGATGCCAAAAGGCCGACAAACATTAAAACCCGTCAAAGCCCTATCGTAAAACAATGAGTTGTGCCTCTTGGGGCCACCTTGGGAGATCTCTTGGAACCTCGTCGGCCCTCTTGGGAGCTTCTTGGGGGCCTCGTGGATCCGATTTGGGGCCTCTTCGGACTTCCCGAGAACGTCTCGGGGTAGAAAGCTCGGATTCTCAGTTCGTGTTTCCCTTCTTGGGCCTCTCTTGGGGCCGTCTTGGGGCCCTCTCGGGCCGTCTTGGGCGCCTCAGGCACCGCCTTGGGGCCCTCGTGGGCCGCCCAGGGCCCTCTTGGAAGCCTCTTCGGCTATCTTGGAGCTGTCTGGGAGGCCTCTTCCTCCTCCTCGTCCCCCTCCTCCTCCTCCCACTCCAGCTCTCTCTCCTCCTGATCTTCCTCCTCCTCCTGCAGCGTGTTCCGGAAGGCTCCCGCCGGAACATGCTGTGCACAAGTGCTGTCACTGCTCCCGCCACCGTGCCCTGGGTGGTGGGTCAGAGGCCTCATGGGTGTTGGTTTGGATCTCGTGGTTGGCCTGTCGGGGACGTCGTGAAGGCAGTTTCGCAGCTTCTTGGTAGCCGTTTTCCGACCGTTGTGGGGCCTCCTCGGGGCTGTTTTGTGGCCTCTTTCGGCTTCGTTTGGGCCTCCTGAGTGCCTCTTGGGGGCCTCCTGGGGCCTCTTGGGGGCTCCTTGGAGCCTCCTGGGGCACTCTTCAAGCGGGAGGGTCGAATTTTGGAGTCGTGGTCCCCCTCTTGGGCGCATCTTGGGGCCGTCTTGGGGCTCTGTTGGGCTGTCTTGGGCGACTCTGGGGCCGTCTTGGGGCCCTCTTGGGCCGTCTTGCGGCGCTCTTGGGGGCCTATTGAGCCGTCTTGGAACGTCGGACAGCCGAAAAGGCTGGAAGGTCAAAATCGCACGAAAACCTTAGTACAATTGACGATTTCGGCCTCTTGAAGCGCTCTGGAGAAGCGTCTTGAAGCGTCGTGGCGTGCCTTGGGGGGCCTCTCGGGCCGTCTTGGGCCTATCTTGGGCGTCCTGGAGCGGTCTTTCGACGACTCGGGGCCGCTTGGGCCGTCTTGGGAGCCTTTGGAGGCCCTCCTGGACTATTTTGGACCTCCCCGGCCGCCCCGTCCTCCCATGGGGGGTCGGAGGCGGCGGCCTCCGAGGCCCAGGACGCGGAAATCCTTTAAAAACACTGGAAAATGAGCCCCTGTACCCCCATGGAAGCTCTTCGGCGCTCTTGGATCGTTGGAAGCTCGAAAACGCGAGGAGCCAAAAACATTGAAAAGACCATTGGACATATACGACGTTGGCCTCTTCGGGCCGTACCGTGATACCTATCAGACTTCTTGGGGTCTCTTGGAGGCCACCTGGGAGCCTCGAGCCGTCGGAAGGCTGACTTGGGCTGCTCGGGAGCGTCTTGGGCCATCATTTCGCATTCTGGGGGCTCCGGGGCGGGCGGACCCTAACGGGCGGGTGGGGCGGGGAAACCTTAACGGGCAGGCGTTCCCCACCTCCACGCCCACTCATCCTTCTACCTCCTTCTCCTCCTCCTCCTCCTCCTCCTCCTCCTCCTCCTGTCCATCCTCCTTCCCGGCGCAGGTCTGTCGAGCCGGGTCTGTCGAGCCGGGTCTGGCACACCGCATCCGGCAAACTGGGTCTGGCAAACCCCACCTCCGCGCCCACTCATCCTTCTACTCCTCCTTCTCCTCCTCCTATCCTCCTTCCCGGCGCAGGTCTGTCGAGCCGGGTCTGTCGAGCCGGGTCTGGCACACCGCATCCGGCAAACCGGGTCTGTCGAACCGGGTCTGTCGAACCGGGTCTGTCGAACTGGGTCTGTCGAACCGGGCCTGTCGAACCGGGTCTGTCGAACCGGGTCTGTCGAACCAGTCTCTGGCGAACCGGTCCTTGGCGAACCGGTCCTCTGGCGAACCGGTCCTCTGGCGAACAGATCCTCTGGCGAACCGGTCCTTGGTGAACAGATCCTCTGACGACGGGGTGGCGACGGCGGCAACATAGCCGCCAGACCGACAGACAGGCCCAGACGACGGGCGGCGACGAGGCGGCGACGGGGCGGCGACGGTGGCAACATAGCCGCCCGACAGACAGGCCCAGAAGACGGGGGGGGGACGGGGCGGCGACGGCGGCAACGTAACCGCCCGACCGACAGACAAGCCCAGCTCCTTAGTAACGAATGAAAGCCCCTAAGTGCAAACACTGTTTGGGGAATTGGGGTCCTCTTTGGAGGAAGTTGGATGTTTCCGCTTCTGCTCATTTCCACATGTTCCTGGTCCTGAGGTGGCAACGGACAACATAGCACACATCATACATTCGAATGGGAAGAAGGCCGTGCCCTCGAGATGGAACCGACCCTGGAAGAATCGAAATGAGCGGCGTGGAACAATTCGTGACCGTTTCGCCTGTCACCTTGTGCCGTGGGCGCGCGTACCCATGACGCGGAAGTCTATCCGACGCGGGAAGACGGATTAGAAAGGGTGCTGCTGCAAGTGCAACGTCATTCGTCGCTTTGATTTCCAGACTATCTCTTCCAAGTCCCTTTCCATTCATGATACTCTCCTGCTCTCGGGGTTTAACCCTGAATGGCCGCATCCTTCCACTCCTTTTACGTGTCCGATCCATATTAGCCTTGGAGAACCTTATGCCGCTCAATGCCGCTTAACACCGTTCAATGAAGGGCACGGTGTGGCGCGGTAGCGGTGTTGCGCAGTGTGATGTGGTGTTGCGCGGTGTTGCGCGTTGTTGCGCGGTTGTGTTGCTCTGACAATCTGCGAATCAGGATATCCAGACATCTTCCGTGGATTGGGAACTTCTTTGGTAGCAGCGATGGCGATCGCGCACCACGTCCACAACCTAAGCGTGAGCACAGCCAGGCGAATTGCGCACAAACCGGCAGGGGACAGAAAGGGACGGCCGCGGAGGAAAGGAACGAACGACCTATGGATCGGACGCGTAACGCCCCCTCCTTCTCCGACCCTCTTCCGCCGCCCTCCCAATGACATCCGCCGATGCGTTTCAATCCGCACCCCGAAAAAAATCAGAGGGTCGAAATCGCGGAAAAACTGTAAGGTGAAAATCAGACAATCGGACATCTGCACCATTCTCGCCCTCTCCACACCCTCCTGGCGATCCCTCTGCCATTCATCTGGCTGGCGGCGCCTGGGGCTGGGTGCGGCCCCGCTCCGCCCCAGAGGAACGTGGAGCCGCCAGCGCCGCGCCCAGCTCTTGGAAGCGCGCCTGGCACGGCAGGATCCGGGAAGGAACAGATGCACCAGGGTACTCCAGATGGTCTACTCCAACAGCGCAACGAAGCCTGCACACGATCTTGATTCCAGAACGCCAGCGAAGCCCTGGTTCCGAGCAGCTCGCGTAAGACGTCCAGAAGAAGACGGTCAAGATGAACTCCAGAATTTTCAATGAACGCCCTCGCCACGCCGCTCCGCCCAACGGCCCGTTCCAGCCCCCCTTCTCGCGCCGAAATCACCCCTCACGCGATCCAACCCTCCCACGCCCAGTCCCAGACAGGCCCCTTCGATCCTCCACCGCGATCCACCACCCCACGCTTATTGAGCAACTCGGAATAGAAGGGTCTGAGAGAGCTGGCGGAGACGCAGGCTGAGCGTTCGGTACATCGGGTGCGCCAGGGAGGCAGGGGCGCCAGCGCATCATGGCCCGATCGATGCCTGTGCGCGGGGGGGCGGGGGAGGCGGGGCGCCTGGGGGCGCACTGAAAGAAGAAGAAGAAGAAGACAAACCAAATTAAGCAACTAAATAACAGGGAGCCATGATATCTGGGAGATGTCATGGCCCCGGCCATGATATACACACGACCCGTCCACACCCCCTCATGCACGCCCCCGCTTGACAACGGGCTGAGAGGGGACACGAGGCCCGCCTGGGTAGCGAGCAGAAGGAACTGGAGAAGACGGGTGGCATGGAAAGGCACATACGTATGCACGAATTCGGCCAGAATGTTCTTGCGACTATTACGTCCTTGCATTGATCAAGCCTCGAAGCTTCAGGTTCCAAATCTTGAAGCTGCTCACTTGAAAGTCTCGAACCTGGAACACCCACCAATAATGGGCCTACCAGAAAAAAATATCCCAAAGACCGCGCGCTTAGAAATTATAGTCACGTCGAGTATACGTACTTACAAACACCGAGTGGGTCGATACATATATCCCGTGTTCTCTACACTCTCTCCTTGCAGTGGTTGGTGCGCGTTGGGCCGTTACTTTTCATATTGATTTCGTTCCTTGCGGGGCGAAGGATCCAAGCCGCATCCAGCTCGAAGTCGGTTCGTTGTTCGCACCACGTCCCTGCGTCTTGGGCGCTTCCGAATAGAAAATGATGCCCAAACAATAACGGGGGGAAGGACAGCCTCTGGCCCCGCACCCCTCACTGTCCCAATGGCGGCTCTTACAGGGTTTCCCAGAAGGCAATATCGCCCAATATGGATTCCAAAACGGCCAAAACTGCTTGCAACTCGGACAAGATGACCCTATATGGCCACCACGATGGACAAATATTGCTTCCAAAACGGCCACCATGGCCCCAAGACGGACCCAAAGGCCCCCCAAACCCAAGACGGCCTAAGGCCTCCAGGAGGACCCCCAGGTGGGCTCGGGTGTGCCTAAATCGGTCGTTTCCCTTTGCGCAGGCGCCTCATCGGGCTTCCGATCTCCCAAGTCAGCCCAAGAGGCCTCCAATATTGCCCCAAGACGGCCCACGAGGCATCTGATAAAGCCTTCAGGGGGCGCAAATGTGCCCCAACATGACCAACAGGTCCTGACGACGGCAACCCAAACTGCAAGTATGGCCTCCAAGTCGGACAGGATGGCCTCAGAGTGCTGTCGCGATAGACCAAGCTGGGTTCCAAGACAACCGCGATGGCCCCCAGGCGGGCCAAGAGGCCCACAAGACGCCACAAGAGGCCCCCAAACGGACCCCCCAATATGGCCCGAATAAACCCAAACACCGCATTGCCTGTACGTGTTTGAAATCCACACCATCCTGTGGTATTGGGTCTTCGTTTTGAAGAGACAGCGCCCCGCGTTCCGTCCTTCCTTTCTTCCTTCCTCCTCCTCCTCCTCCTCCTCTCCTCTTACTGCCCCTCCTCCCTCCTCCTCCTCCTTCCTCCCAGCACCGTCATCATCATCATCATCATCAACATCATCATCATCATCATCATCAGCATCATCATCATCATCATCATCATCATCATCATCACCATCGTCACCATCACCATCATTAACAGCATCACCATGATCAGCACCATCAGCACCGTCACCATCGCCATCGCCATCACCATCACGATCACCATCATCATCGCCACCATCCGCAACATCATTGTAATCGTCAGTATCATCGTCATCATCGTTATCAAACATCATCATCGTCACCACCATCATCACCACCGCCATCGTCATCGTCATCATTATCACCGTCACCGCCCTTAACGAACGACTCACACGTTTCGTGGCTCTATAAGGAACTCCACCGAAGGCCCCAATGGCGCAGCCCACGTGCGTCCCCGCCACCCACTTCGGCACACCCTCACACGTTTCGTGGCCCCATAGGGAATCCCGCCGACGGCCCCAGTGGCGCAGTCCGCATGCGTCCTCGCCACACATTCTGGCACACCGTTTACACGCTTCGTGGCCCCATAAGGAGCTACACCGAAGGTCCCAATGGCGCAGCCCGCGTGCGTCCGCGCCGTCCATGTCGGCACGCCCCTCGCACGCTTCGAAGCCCCGTGAGAGCTCCACCGAAAGCTTCAGCGGCAAAGCCCGCATGCGTCCCAGCCAAAAATTTTCGGCACAACCGTCGCGCGCTTCGTGGCCCCCTCTGATTCCCAAGGTGGCTCGAGGCGTCTCAACTTCTGTGCGCGTGAAACTATATCGGCTGCGTCGTGCGGCGGTCTCCACCGCTCCTGCAGCCGAAGGTCTGACATGCCCCTCCTTGTTCGCCTGTCGGCACATGGCCCTGTCTTCTCTGTCCAGGGACTCCACGAGATCGTCGGGGAGAGGCTCTATAGCCCCCGAGCGCAGCATCTCTGTGCATGTGTTGGGGGGGGGGATCCCGAAAGGCGGCGAATGCAGCGGAAGCGCTGCCTGAAGTCACTTTGGCACGCTGGGCAGACGCCGTCCGCCTTGACGTGCCTCCTCGCTTCGTTCCTGACGCCGTGAACGGCGCGCTGGTGCTGCGCGAGCCTCAACCTAGTTGCAAAGGCTCGCCGGTTGGGCCCTGGGCACACGTCGCAAACTAAATGGAGCTGCACCCCTTGCGACGCGGTACAACTGTCGCACTTGCTCTCTGCGAAATGAATCGCGTCTACGATATTGTGCCATCTCTGGTCTGGGTTGCAGATCAGATCCAACAGCTGCCCACCATCCCTGAGCACCGGCTGCTCAGTTTTTACACGGTGACTAGATCTTCAAGCACTATTCGCGTATATGGCATCGTTTTTTTGCGCTGCGCGTCGACGACAGCAACGCCGGCAGCTGCGTTCTGCCCGAGGAGAGGAGCCTCCGCAGGTACCGCAGTCTAGGCTGCGTTGCTTAGCAATCTATGGATGCTGCTCCTAAAGATTGCCTCACTTGCAAGTATTTGCCCTGCCCAGGACCAAACCGAACCTTATCCACAATGCGTCTCAACGCTCCCATGTAAACTTGGCCCAGCGCGCGCGAAATGCGCTTCTGGCGCGGCAGCGCGCGCGTGGAACATCAGTTTGCCACGCGCGCCTTCAAGGCATGCATGTTTGACGCAACTGATATGTTCGAAACGCCAAAAACACGGATCGCAATTGGCGCGCATGCGTCCATGCCAGAAGATGCTCTCTTTCCAGCATCAGGTTTACACGTTCCTGCGATTGAAGCAACTGTCCCCAGATGCTCACACTTCGACACGTTGGCACGATGGACAACTCGATGGCATCATCCCGTTTTGATTTTACGTGCGCGCCGTCATCGTGCCTGCGCTGCTCCCAATGCGCGCTAGCGTTCTTGCCCTTGCACCGGAGCACGCACTCCGTCTTGCCCGGGGCCCAATTGATCACCCTCGCGCACAAGGAACAGCCGGCGCAACATGTCCAGCAGCGTCTGAATTGCGCGGTCGAGCGCCTGGGGGGAAGCAGCCACCAACGCATTCATCGTCCACGAACGTGGCGTCGATGATTTCTTCCTCAACAACGGTTTCCTCCGCTTCGATCCAGGCCGTGCCGCGGAGGCCTTCTCCCCCTCTGTCGCGCGTGCGGTCATTCCCTCGCGCCTCAGTTCCTCGTGAAGCATTCTGATCGGGACCGATTATCCCGCGTTGGATGCAATGCAGTCTCTCCGAACAGGCATCCCTGGCGCCCTCTCTTGTGCGACTGGGCAACTGCGTCGAGCGTGCCGCGCGAAAACCAAGACCCCTCGCGCAGCCGCGCCGCGAGGAAGGCGACTATAGGATCAACGCCCCACTTCTCAAACGCGCTTCCGTTGGATCAGATGCACGACGCCAGCCGCTCGGCCGCGCCCTGGTCGACGCCGAGGGGCGCCAGGTACTCGACGGGCGAATATTTGGACGAAGCCGATGGGCCAAATGTGAGTTCGCGAACGATTCCGTCAATAGCTTTGACCAAATCTATGAGCGACGCAAACATTGACAAGGAGTGCAAAGTCGCATATTCTATAACGGCGCGAACCAGGTGATGGGCCACGTCAGTCCCGCCTCCTCTCGCAGCACCGCGCTGCGACGTGGGCGAGTTAGAACTGCAGAGCGGTTCGATGCACTCGCTTAACTGGGGGCGAAAAACTTGCCCAGCATGATCGGACAACAACGCTCCTCGGTAATTGTCGCACTCAGAATCTGACCCATTGTTCTTAACAAATATCCTGCATGCGACCCCCCATCCAGTCGATGGGCCACGCTTCGCCTTCAACATTGCGCTTCTCGACCTCGAAATATTTCGCAGCGACGGCGCCCCCCCCTCCCTCGAGGAGCTCGGCGGGCATCTCATCCGGCCCCGCGCCGCGACGCGATTTCAGCTCGCGGCGCGCCCGCGCCGCCCGCTCCGGAGACAACTCGAGAGCAGCATTATGCGCGAATTGTTGCGGCAGGGGCGCGCGCAGCAACGACTTCCTCAGAATCGTTCCCTGGAACACCTCGGCAGAATGCCCCTGCCATCGTCTTTGGCGCTCCTGCTCGTCAGCGACAGCGTCGCCGCCCTTATTTCTAATGGCAGAGCCTGACGTGCAC